TGTCTCTAGCTTCCAAGAGGCACAAGGGAAGGGCCAAGAGCAGGGGCCCTTGTGACTTCATGACGAGTGAGGCGGCATTGCTGGCCATTGAGTGAGCATCGATTTCCCGGTGGGAGCGCGTGATTTCCTCAGGTGGCCACAGGTATAATCTGAAGGCACATGAAGAAACCAATTGCTTTTCCGAACAAACATGGTGAAAGATGATGGAAGAATCTGTGGTCATGTCTTTCCCGTGTTGTATATTGTTGTATATACTGATTTCCCGGAACTTGGTAGGTCAAAAGAACACTTCGCCCTTTCACTTTCTCCTTGTGGGATGGGATGTAGAATCAGAAACCCTCATATGCCTAGCACTGCCAATCCGTGCCCAGTCTGGAGATGCCGGGTGGAAACCGTCCAGCCTGCATGACCCCGAAGCGGCTGAAGCAGCCAAAGCTACCAGCTAGCCATTTCGGGTACTAGGTCTTGGAGCTTTGTTAGGGATGCAAAAGGAATGTGGAAGGGGCCACCAAGGCGCATGGATCTTGGTAGGGTTCTTGGTGTAGGAGGTTCCAATGAAGCATCAGTGAGAGCCCAGGAGTTCAATCTTTGGGTTCCAGGAAAACGAGAAACTTCGACTTGAAAAGAGAAGAAGGTTTCACCATCTGAATCCCATCCCGAATCATCCCGACTATTGTTCAAAAGTCATTCCATGTTTCTTCCCATAGCGAGCGAGCTAGACCTTCTGAGTAGGTCGGCGGGTCCAGGTGGTGACTTTCATTTGGGCGATGAAATGGGGTATAAGACATCATATGTTCTTTTCAGTCCCATGGATGGTCTGGGAATGTCTAGGATCAGAGCTTCCAATGATGCCCCCCAGCCCGCGATCCAGAATGATCCACAAACCCCGTTCAAACCGACATACAAGTGCGTTGTGGGTCAGGATACCTGGTGCCATCAGGATACCTGTGAGTTCATGAACCATCACCCGAAACATCACATCCAGGTGCTTCAGGTCGAGCCCCTACAGGTCGACTTAGACTCGATACGGTCTACCGTATACCACGTACCCACCAACAGGTATTAGATGGTCCGCTTCCACTGCGGTCATCGCGCGGTCATCGCGGTCATCGCGTGTCAAGTCGTCTCCCCACCGACCCGCCCTCCCCCCGCGACGAAGGTCCGGGGGTCGGGCGACCGAACGCGGCCAAACAAGCAGCGCTCGGTTTGGGTCCGACTCGTTTTCGGACCCGTGAGGGTTGGTTGGTGTGGGGGGTTGGTTGTGGGGGTTGCCCGTTTGGGCTCCGGCCATGGCCACCCCCCTCCGTTTCGGTTCGATGGGACAGGAGTTGGGGTGGGTGCCATTGGGGTTGAAGACCACCGAACCTGAGGATATGGGGCGTTCGGAGCCCTAGGGTTGGTTGGGACATGTCAAGAGGTGGGGGGAAGGTGTCTCTTCTTCGGTTCCTGTGGGGGGATGGTGAAACCCCGGAAAAAGGATGTTGTGGGATGTTTTGTTGGGTGTCCGCTTCCGAAGAAGCTATAGATCCAACTAACTGTGCGGTGCCATTTTCACAGACAGGGGTGCCGGCACCCTTTTTTTTATCTTGGAAGGCTGGGGTGAAGGTTTGCTTCTTGACATCTTTCCCAGGGCATCCAGTTACCACTATAGCTGGTAACCAGTGGTTCCAAAGACTAAAACCACATAATAGACCGAACGAATCCCTGGTTCCTTATAGACGTGGGAACTGCCTGGGATCCACTGGAAAGGGCAGATCAACATGTTCTCGGTCTCCTTGGGCGAAAACGCCGTGGGTCTCATGTACCTGGCACCTGGCACTGGACCTACCCAATTCGAAGGTGTACATCACAAATTCCGGTCTTGAAGTCCAAAAATGTACACGTTCTTAGACAGGAGGCAGTTTCAATACTCAATTCGTCTCGATATGGTGTTAAAAAGATGGCGAACTCTTTCCAAACACAAACCCTCAGTCCGGCCAAGCGACACCAGTTCTGGTCGGTTCGGTCTATCACCGGTCGGTCGGTCTCCGGTCTCCGAGTCCGACGGTCCGACCGTCAGAGGGGATCTGACTGGTGGTCCGACGGTCCGACCGTCAGAGGGGATCTATCCCAGGTCCTTGTTCCACACGGAACATGGCTGGAGTATACTGAGTATAGCTGCTTGCGTTTGGTGATGTTTTTGTAACTCCATCTTTGGTGACCTGATTCGGCCAGCAATGGCCGAGGATCTCACTCGTTCGGGGGGTATATCAGGTTTTTCTATTTACGGACCATCATCCACTGGGCCCTGGCCACGGGATATACCGACCTAATTAAGTACTTACATGTACTCCAGCTGCTTCCGTAAGGGGTTACCTGGCTGGACCACCCTTCACTGCTTATAGGTCACCATTGGACACCCATTGGAAGTGCTAGGCTTACTATTGGTGGTGGTTTGATGGGTCGCTCTAGGTGTGTTTGAACTGGGCCCTGCAAAGATGGGAGAGATGCTCTTGAGCTCTGGGCTCTCTGTTGGACTCCGTTCCTGGGCCCACCGGAAGAGCGAGCCGGTTCCCAGCTCTCCGGGTCGACTTCACAGCCAGTCAGGCACGACTGGAGCCCTTTTTGGGGGATAGATAGGGATGATCGTCTTCTCATGGCGGAAGCTATGTCCCGTGAAGATTCTTCCAAACACTCCATATGGCAATCAATGGCGGTTTCACCATGTTTCACCACATTCTTGAGGCGCCTCAGGGTCCTCAAATCGTTTCCTACACTCCAAATGTTGTCCACCCCTCAGGCAATGAGTACTTGGGCATCAGCCCGATCCGACCACGTCTCAGCTGGGTGGTCCATAGGTCACCTTCCAGGACCAGGGGAGACAAATGGGGCTTCTATTGATAGCCCCTTCGATGTGAAGCTTAGGGGTGTCCATGAACCACCCCTGGTGTGTGTGGGGTCCTGTTTCTTTTTTCGAACCTTAACACATTCAGTTCTATGGGCAAGGCTGCTGGCCACACCTCCGAGCACTGTTCCGGTTCCAAAATCCTGTTGGCACCCTTTTCGCGGTGAGACCTCTTCGCCGTGAGACCTCTTCTGCGCTGCGCACCCGGTTCAAGCGCAGAAACATGGAGGACATGGAGGAAGCTCTACACCATAACTTGTGAACCCGCACAATGGCCTCTCAGAAGACTGGAAAGATGATGTTGCGCAAACCACTCGTTAGTTTTCATGGTCCTTGTCAGTTTGCAAAGAGGTACTTGCTAGTTTAGTCCAACAGTGGATTGGTTCCCTGACATACTTGTAGGGGGTTACAGAAAGACATATGCAGCAGTTACAAGATGTAAAGTCTTCCATCCAGACTATACAGTCTACAGATTCTTCCATACAGTTTATAGGTCTGTAGTCGCACTGACTACTGATAGTGGGTGTAACGTCTATACAGTCTCATTGTGGTCATTCAGTCCATCAGATATAAGGTGTAAATAATTTTGTAGATCTGGATAGAGACGGACTGTTCTTAGACACATCCATCCAGACCTTATTGTTCTTCGATGTCTTAGGCTGCTCAGAAAAGCTGTTTGGAGTCATTGAAATCAATGTACGTACATCAGAACATGGGTACACGCTTCTGTTTTGATAGGGTGATGATGTCCCATGAACTCCAGAGTGCTTGAAGTCGGGTCCCAATGTCCTTGAAAGAGATGACGTCTTCTGTTTTTGTCTTTCGCAGATTCAAGTGCCATACAACTGCAGACAGAGTCTATCCAGCGGACGATTCCGCTTTCCGCATCCCGCGGCAGCTGGGGGAGAGTTCACGCATCTTCGCCAGGGGACCCAGTGAGAGGGTCACACCGGGTGTGGGAAAAGCCGGTCATACCCATAGGTAGGAGGTGCTCCGAAAAAGTAATATGACTTTGTCCATGTACCCTAGGCTTCCAACACAACTCTGATTTCATAGCCTTTTACCGAAGCACCATTGTTTTACCGAGGATTCTACACTTCACTACACAACCAGGTCAACCATGTTTTAAACAAACGCCTACTATATGTTAAACCTACTGAAGTAAAGGAAGTTCCTCTTCGCATCTTCACCCCAACAAAGGTTGAAGAGCCCTATACTATCGCCCATCCCATATGGACCACAGACCAGGGTCCAAACGTTCAGGTCTCAAAAAACCTCTATTCTTGGTCTGCCCTGCTTTGCTTCATGCGCCAGGGCCATGTTGCAACACAATCGACATGTGGTGGACCTGAGAGTCAGACCATTCTTTGGATCGGTTCCTGCACTTCATCCGATCCACGCATTCACCCGACCAGCGGCAAAAGCACGAACGGAAGGTTGCTGGGCTTTTGAACAGAGGAGGGTTTGTGGGGCCCCTGGCCTGGTATGGGTGTGGGCCCCTTTTCAATAGATAGGGGGGTCCTGGCCCAAAAGGTTTTACCCTAAGGATCATTGGACCCTCCTATGGCGGGTTTTGACCCTGCATAGCAGGGGGTTGGATTGCTTCCCTTCTTCCAGAAGGTCTGAACCACTCCGAGGAGTCTCTCTATTTGAAGACCATCGACCATGACGGGAAGCCTACTCAGACACCGAGTGCGTTCATTCGGAACGCCTTCCCTACCATCCATGGTGTTCACGTGAAACGCAAGAGACTTGGGCTCCGATCTGAAACGGAGGTCGGCCAGGAGCTCTAGGGTATATATACCTAATTATACCTAGAACCTGAGTGGCCCGTGTTTTGGAGCCAAAAGTTTTAAAAGATGTGTGTGTTATTTCCCTATCAAAACAGGGGTCATGTCGGGGTTCTCCAACTGTGCAGAAGTTCTGAACAGCCAAGTTCTGCAGAACTTTTGCAGTTGGAAGACCCAGGTATGACCTGTTAGGTATAGAACTCACCTCACGAGGTCTCAACAACCAGCCTGTCGTGCCTTTGTCTCGAACGTTTGAGAGCACCACGACTGGCGCGTCCAGCACCCCCCCACCTCAAGCGCAGCTCGGCAAGCGAGTGTCTTAGGCCATGGAAGATGACAAGTTGGCCCTCCTGCTCGATGACAACAGGTAGGGCATTGGATCGAACTTAAGGGTAGAATGGGGTGGGGAAGGGCGTCAGCTGACTGTACGGCCCCTTTTGTTGGTAGAGAGTCTTAGTTGAGGGGAAAAAGGTCCAGAACACTCCGCTCTGGTCCAATCGTCACCAGATCCGGACGTCACAGTGTGGTCCGGAGCAACTCAGGATCAGTGATCCAGTGGGACACAGTGGGATGCGCATGCCAACCGACCAAAATCAAGCACCTAGAGACATGTTTATCTGGTGTGCAATCCTAACCTTACTGGGCATATCTGGGCATTATGATCATTATGTGGCTTCTCATGTGGTATGTGCTTCTTCTGTGACTGCTGAATGATGTGTGGGAGGAAAATCAGCGTGTTTCTCATGTGGTTTTCCTGATTAGGTACATGACGTTTTGAAGGGCAAACCAGGGCAGGGCAAGTTGTTTTCATGGTATTTGGCAAGTGGGCACTGTCTCGTGTGAGTTAGAATACTCATTCAACCAATCTACCTCGTCTACTGCCCAGAGGGTTTCCTTTTTGACATCTTTTGATATACTGGATGGAAGTTTCATGACCTGGAAGCGGAGAGCCCTCGGTTCGTAAAGGAAAGGAGTCTTCCTCTTGGGTCCACACCATTCACTTCGATGTGATGTCTCGTCCAGTTATTTAAGCTTCAGATGTGTTCCACGAGTTTGAACAAGTCTTTTGGCCGCCGCAGTCCCACCCTCAGTCATCTCCCCCGGCATGGCCAAGTTGACCGGGTGTTCGCTTTCGGGACCAGGGGTGAAGACGAAACCTGAGTGGATTGATGTTGGTAGCAGCAATGGCACCCCCTTCCAGCCGGGCCAGGCGCTCCGTCTTCCCCGGCTGTGAGCCGCGGATGTGCAGCATCTCAGCGGACCACACGTTGCGGCAATGGAACGTGAAGACCGGTGCGCCCCCCCCCCCGCGCCGTTCGCGCATGCGAAGCCGCTTCCCGCGGGGTGCGAAGGCGAGATCTTTCAATCTATAGTCCAACGAATGACATGTACAGAGAAGATTATAGAAACGCTATGTGACTATGGATCCAGGACGCGAGGCCCGATAGTTCCGGGCCCGCAAGTAAAGGTAATAAGGATAGAAGTATAGCAGGGTAAGCAATCTTTGGCGACCAGTCCCAGAAAGGAAGATGCAATAAAGAATGATGCAGAAGCTATCTGTATCATACCCTTGGGCCCTTCGCAACCGAATGGCCCCGCGCCGGAAGATGGGATTCGGGGCTCGAAAGTGGAGGAGAGGAGGGGGGTAGGAGGGTAGGAGGAGAAGATATTGAGATAGATGGGGAGAGCCATGGAGCCAGTTGAAAACCTTTCACATAGTCACAGCAAAGAATAGTGTGAGATCATTATGAGATGGTGAGTCAGATCACAAATTGTTGGGCTTACACATCGTTCGGTCAAAACGATATGATGAATGCATCCACGGTCCAAGGCGGTACACATGGCACTGTTTGGCTTCAGCATGTCATTTTCAGCCATTCGTTGCATTCGTTGCTGGCGCCTCACCGGGGGTGCGTGTAGCCACGGTCTCTGTGAGCCAGGACTAGGTGGAGACTGTCTCCGCGAGGGATGACAAACCTTAGGGAAGAACGAGTCTTGGTCATTTCACTCTTCAATCCTTAGGCCTCCAATCCTGTCCTCAGAAGGTGGTTAGACCCCAAAAATCACCTCAACCACCTTCGAAACAGAGGTGGTTGGAGCCCTAGGGAATGGGATTGGAGCATTCCGCGCCTACGACCTCTAGGGCATCACCTCAATGGGTGTGGCTGATTCTGATGGAACCCGGAATATGCACAGACGTCCCTCCCGGCATAGCTAGGAATTCCGGCGCCCCAGCGCTTTCGTAAACGCAAGCACACTTGCAGACTGACAAATTACCCGTTCTTGCACAGTGAATATGCATGTGCAGCCGGTCGTAAGTGCGAGCTGTGTGTCGACACCCAATATTCTAGGCAGATCAATTTCCAGGTTACCTCCGGCTTCCTGACTATAGTAGTCGTTAGATTTTTTGAAAATGTGTTTAACCGATTAGTCAGGAAGGTCGCTTTAACGTATATTTTCTATAACCTTAACAGTGTTAGGCCATTTAATGGCTTAACAATAAATATGTGTTCTGTTCTTCCGTTAAAAGCAACATGACCAGAGAGGTGTGGTGTTCTCGTCTCCTGATCGAAAAAAACCCGCGCGGAAGCCCCTGGAGGCGAAGAGCAAAGGATGTTCTGGCGCCACAAGGCCGAGCAAAAGGGATGTTCCAAGAGTCGCAAGACGGGGTGGTGTGGCTCGTCCCAGCCAGTGAGTGGATGTTCTAGGCACCCCTAACCTCCATTAAGCACCCCTTTGTGTCTGCTGGTTCTGGGCATGGGTTCATGGCAGCCTTCTTCCAATCGTCAAGGGTGTACATCTTTCCTTGGGAGGCCTCGAAAACAAAGACTTGATCCTGACTGAAAGCGGATCTCTTCAACCCCCCCCCAAGAGGCTTCACCCGCACCTGGTGGGTGCTGACCTTTGTTCCTTGACTGGGTGCTCTTCACTTGCGGGCGAACTGGGCCGTTTTCAGACAGGAATCGCTGATCGCCTGCCCCAACTGTTTGTTTTAGAAAGGACAGGTGGAAAGTGAGTAGTCTTTTTCGTTGTTTGTTAGCAAACTACCCAGAGTGGCGAGGGTGCTGTCAGTCTCACTGGCTCGAGTGATAGAACAGGTGGAAAATGGGGAAAGTTCAGTTCAACCTTTTCCAACCCAAAGGTTCACTGGACCCTCAGTTCACATCCGCGTTTTGATCCTCACAACTCCCAACCACCGGCGTCGGTCGTCGTCGTGGATTTCAGGCGGCAGTGTTGTGCCTCTCGGTGGACTGGGAGACTGGCATGGCGGTGGGGAGCTCAGATGACCCGTGGGGAGCTAGCGATGATGAATGATGTGGAATGCGAGCATTGTTGAGGATGGTTTATCCAAAATTCCACCTGGCATGTGTTTTGTTATTTTTCTTTAAACCTTGGCCAGGGCGCAGTTTTGTGAGAAGTTAATTAGCAAGCAGCACCACGGATACCATGGATAAAAGAGTTGATCTTAGTTGAAAGAATGAGAGGATAGGATGGAAGGACTTCCAAAAACCCATTGGTGTTCCTTCGTTGTTGAGAAGAACCGCCAATCCACCTCATAAGCAAGACATGGAGCGAAATTACTGGTTGGAAAGCTATATTAGTTTCCACAGTGCAATTCTGATTTGCTTACGCATCTTCCTCGGTTCTTCAACTAATGTCGAGTTCCTACCATATTCCTACCAACCCATCCGTGTTGCTAAAGAATATCCATCCAACCCCGGTCCACATGTCCAAATCAACCCATCCAACCGGAGAGACTCTCTCCCCTCCTCTCCCCTCCGGCCCCATCCGCGTCCGGGCGAGGTGACCGGCTCCGGAGACCAAAGCTTAGTGCCCTGGAACGCGTTCGGTTCGTCTCTGCGCTCGCTTTCATGGGTGGGGCGGGGCGGGGTGGGGCGATCGGGGAGGTACGTTGAACGGCCGAGGAGGAGGGTGTTTTCGGGCGATCAAGGGGATGTCCAAGAGAGGTTGAACAGCCTTTTTCGCCCAATGTCAGATGTACCACAATCTGTAGGGGGCAGTGAAGTGGCGTGTCTCTTGATTTGACTGCAATCCGTTTGAAGCAACCAAGAAGCGTTTTGAACATAGCTGTCGCAACTAATAGCACTCCAGGAGCCATTGTAGAACCGGCGCTGGTGAAGGAAACAAGTCAAGCGACGTGATGCAATACGTGGATATCGACTATATATTAAACAAATAAGGCCACTCTGTATATTTTGGAAATAACACATCCAAACAACAAAGTCGCAAAGTATCAAAGTCATAGTCACACAGTCACATCAATCTACACAAGGCCCCTTCAGATCATCCGTCTTATTGCATGCAGCATGCAGCAGACGCTGAAAGTTACATCTGAAGGCTGGGAGTAGAACGTGGCAGAATGGTCGGTGTCTATGGTAGGATAGGAGGCTTGCACCGACCAGTTCTATCCTTTAGAAAGCTTGGAAAGCACAACGCAGCAGGAAAGAATGTCCTACCAAGTTGCAGTGTGGCACCAGACTACCTTTTTTGGGTGGTTGTTTTTGGTTCGGGGTGTTGCAACACCCTGGAACTGGAACTCATACTCGCACAAGACATATATCTACTTAAATGCGGTTTCAGAGTAGATGGCACTAGCACCCCAAGATGTTTGTCGACAGCCAGATGGGGATCTTTGAAAAAATAAGAAAACATTCAGGTAATGGCCATGTGTGCCATCTACTCATCTACTCTCAATCCACCAATTTGTTTATTCTCCGGAGCCATGAGCGGGTGTAGAAAGTCCATGAAGGCAGACTTGAAAAGCCACGTTCGACGCCCAAATCCTCAAGATACAGGAGTACAAAAAGGAGAATCCGGGATGGCACAGGACGAATCCAGAACGATACAGGAGATTTCCACCAGAGACTTTTGACGATACAGGATGGCACAGGTGCAGAAACTGTGAGCAAGTGATGGAACTCCACCATTCCAGGTCAGAATGGCACCGGTGCTCTCCACTCTTCAGGTCACAGGTGCTCTCCCCAACTCGCCAAACAGACGGGCGGATGCCGAAATCTTGCTTCCATGCCGTTGGTCTTCTCAGTCGCTCCGGTCTGGCCAATAGGCCAGACCCCATGCTCTTGCCTGGTAGCAGAGGTGGGTCAGAACCCGAACTAGACTATCCTATAGGTACCCCCTGGTTACGGGTCCTAGTTCAGGTCACTTAACCTCTGTAGGTGGTAGGTCTGTTAGGTCTTCGCAAGGCCCCATGAATCTTCCCCACTTACCGAAGGACCTTCCCAAACTTGAGATCCCGCTCGCGAAGCACAGGTCATGAAGAGGTCAGGCCTGTAAAAAGGTACTGCCCAGATGCTCCGTGAAGACAGCCGAAGCGGTCCCTCAAAACCGATCGGAATTTCCCCAAACGGGCTTGGTGGGCCCATCTCCTCAGGTCTGGTGGTTAGGCCCATCCACCCACCATCTTAATGCCCACGGAGGGGGCGGTTTTTGGAGCCCAAACGGGAAACGCCCGCGGTCGGTGAGGCGCCTGAAGTCGTTGTCACTGGGATTTTGCTTCGCAGCGTCTCCAGTCGAATCGCCGGTCATGCTGTTGAAGGCTGACGGGAGCGGGAGATCCGGAGAAAAGGGAAGCTGCTGTTGCTGTCCAGTGATCGAGGGTGATCCTTTATATGAGAAAAATCGTTTTTTATACGTGTTTGTTTCCTCCTGATGCCGGCGCCGAAGTCTCGTCTCGGTGAGTTCCTTTTCGACGTCCGACCGAAGAAGACTGCGGACGACGCCCCCGGGGCACGGGCACGTCCACATCCCAGGCGCTATGGGACATCGAGGCCGAAGGAGAGCCCTTGGAAGCCATGTTTGAAGGCGGGAGAAGGCGTTGATCCATTGGTTGGTGCGGCAAGAGGACAACAGGCGGGTGCTGGTCACTGGGTGTGCTTGTCTAACTTAAAGTAATCTTTGGATCTATTCGCTGAATGAAGGTTACGAAAGCCAGCTTCGTAGAAGGCGCTAGCGGAGTTGTGTCTGGCGAACGAAGTGAGTAGTTAGGGGGTCTGGGGGGGTGGCCCGAGAAAGGGACACGTCAACTCAGCACATGCTGGGGGAGGAGGGTGCTCCGAGGGAAGGTTTTTTGAGGTTGTGTTGGAGGTGATTTTTGAGGGGTGGTGATGCAAGAAATGCCAAATGCATCATTTGCATCATCTGAATGGAAAGGTGTAGTTGGCACCTTGCAAGGTAGAGAGACCTAGGGTAGCTATAGTGCAGCTACCAGGTATAGTACTTCAAGTTCCCTTTCCGTCAACCGCTTGAGAACCTCTACACACGCAC